TTCAGTTTACTGAAAAGAAAGGTGATTGTTAAATGACGTCATTTCTCTACAGGCAAAACATGGCCTGTAACATAAAATCAGCTTTCTGCTAATAAGTGGTGGAAATAATGGACTGGGCCTTCATGTTTGCTAAACAGATACAAATGTGTCACATTAGAGAGAGTTAGAGAGATGATGGGACCTCTGCATGTCACATACAGGACAGGACCTCAACATAGGGGAATAGTCTGGAGAGGACACAGATTTACTGGCTGCTGCTTAGCATACCTTTCATTTCCTTGAAATTCAGGAGCCAAACTAATCCAGCAAGCGGAAGCAAAGAACCAAAAAACACGCGGCATACCAGCCAGCAACATATCATTTGTTATTTTGGGGAGAGCAGTAAATTAAATTCTCCATTATTAACTGAGACCTCACTAAATTCACCAAATTCAAATGAGCCTTTGTATAGAGTTGCCAATCAGGATAACAACAGGCTGGAGAAACAGATGGATAGAAACATTGTGAAATTCAGGAAAGGTAGAATGCCTTTCCTATGCCTGGAATGGGAAAAGCATGAATGGCACAGGCTGAGGAGCAAATGGCTGTACAAGTGTGTTGCAGAAGACAAGCTCCAAGTGCTGATGGCCAAGCCTGGCACGAGCCACCAGTGTGCTCACACCAAGGTCAGGTGCACACTGAGCTGTACTGGCAGGACTGCAGGCAGTCTCAGGGGCACACTGAGCTGTACTGGCAGGACTGCAGGCAGCAGGTTAAGAAAAGCAATTATTCCTCTCTATTCACACCAGTAAGACTACATTTGAAGTAGAGAGCCCACTTTCAAAACAGTGAATCAAGTACAGCAGAGAGCCCCTAGGATGACTGACTGGGGTTTGCTTTACAAGGCATGTGGAGAGTGTAAGAGTGCTGGGCTTGCTCAGCCCTGAGAACAGCAGGTGAGGAGGAGGATACAGTTGCGGTCCTCCCTGCAAGCACCCATAACGTAGCTAAAGACAGTCACACACCTCTTACAAGGTCCACATAGGATGGACATGAGGCAGAGGACACAAGTCATAGCACAGGCAATTTCAATCAGAAAAAATGCACAGGGAAGAAGTTAAAATACTGTATTAGGCTCATAGCATTCTGATCTCATCTTTGATGTTAGACATGCTAAGAGCAAAGGATTTGACCAACTGAACTCCCAAAGTCCCTTAAGAATCACAGAATCATCATTCTAGTGTTCTATAAAAAGAGATCACGTGTGACTTTTGACATCTCTGAACACAAAGGCCACAGAACTGTCCATGCCTGTAAGTGGCAAAATAATTTGTACAATTACAGAAGCTCCAGTATTGCAAGCTGAAACTAGGCAAACTCGTATTTAGCTATAAGATCGAGTTTACACTATTAAAATTATCTCCATCAAATGGAATCTTTTAAAATGATGTCTCTGCCTCACTAGAAGCAGGCTCCTGAAGCTGGCTACACAGATCCACTCATTCCTGACCTCCCTTGTCTTATTAAGCAAATCTTTGGTCTTAGATTGCCACTTAAAAATATTGACACTGGAAAGGAGCAGCATACTAATCATCTGTAGCAGTCACCTGATTTTGCAGAAGTAGAAAACATGACAATGCACATTGTCATGCATCAATAGCAGAAAAGAGCATATGAATACTAACCTGTTTTGTACTCCAAGGAGCTCATGGGTCTCCTGATTCAATAGTAATGTTTCCAAGGTAGAGCAGTCACACACAGGTCTTTCTTGCCATTCCTTATTATCTCTTGAGCACTGACAGGTTGCATGAACCAAGACTTTTGATGGAGAGAGAAGCAAAAAAGAACAAAAACATAAATTATCCAATAATAAAGAAATAAGCCCATCCTTCATCCTACACAGTACACTCCAGGACTGTTAGTCAGCCACTTGCAATACACATGAAAAGTGAGACAAGTCTGCTCTGTTCGGGAGCATGGATTTGCAGACATGCCCCGGTTTCTCACACTGCATACACAGCATGAGCTCAGTCTCTAGAACACTCCAGCAACAGTTACTGTAGCAAAACGACATGCAGCAAGAGGCCAGGCCTAAGACAGGCTCCTGCAAAGAGCTCAGGGGGATGCAACTCCTCCAGAAGCACAGTCCAAATGCCAGGATTGCTCATGTTCTGCAACAGCACAGCAGTCACTGAAACAAGTCCTGGTGCTCTGCTCACTTCTCAGCTGGCCCTGGGCAAGACGTGAGGCATGCAATTCCAGAACAGTACAGCTTCACAGCTCCTGCCAGGGAGATTTCTTCTGCCAACATAACTGCTCACCAATGCGGTAACGAGACACTCATGTGGAGACCCGGAATGTCTGGAATCCATTGTAACAATAAAGTATTTATAGTTCTGTAAACCATCACTCCCACGATGCCCCAGTGAGGAACTGAACCTGCTGTCTTGGTAATGATGCATTTTAGAAAAGAGCCATCCAAATGCAAGAACGCCTCTTTCTAACTGTCTCCAACACTTGAAGAGGATGGGTCTGATCTTCCAACTGAGCATTAGGCCATAGCCTCTCAAAGTCAGAAATGCAAAATATGTGGCTGGGACCGAGAGAACCAATAGATTAATTATTAGAAGTGGTATTAGAAATACGAAAAAGAAGCGGAATCTAGGCATCTGCATGGGCCTCAGCACACATCTGCTTGCTACAGGCACTACAATTTCAGGCATGCATACCTGGATTGAGAAAATGTTTCTTGGCATTTGTCCAGGTTGGCCACATTAACCTGACACCGCCCTCAAGCTAGTGAGCCTTGCTGGGTTTGGCTCACAGCTGACCGCCTTAGAAACGCAAACAGAGGAACCATCTGCACCTATTTGCATGGATGTGGACATCAACAACCTGAACTCCAGCCTTAGAGATTTGTGTCTTTTGAATTAATTTTTAATTTACATTCTCAGGTCAGCCAGATATGGCAAGGGATGTGAATGGGAAACAAACAGTGATTCTACAATTCTGCAAACAGCAACAGGTTTGCTGTCTGTGTAGAGGAAACAGGGCAAACACGGGCCTAGGTGGGCCACTGCCCTGGAGAGCATCCCCTGGATCACATCTCTGAAAGCAGCACTGTAGAGAGAGGCTGGGGATTGTGGTGGACAACTGACCTAAGCCATCAATGCACTCTCGTGACAGAGGGCAGCAGCAGCACCCTGGGCTGCAGCACAAGGAAGGTGATCCCTCCTCTCTGCCAGGCACTGGTGAGGCCATGTCTGGAGTATCGTGTCCTGTTCTGGGCACCCCAGAAAAAGAGGTGGGAACTTGTTGGAGAAAATTCAGTTGAGGACAACATAAATAAACATAAATGAATAAATAAAAGACTCGAGAAGAATCTTATCAAAGAACCACAGACTGGCTGAAGTTAGGAGGTCATCTGGTCTAAGCTCCCTGCTCAAACAGAAGCTGTGCAGGCAGTTTGAGTATCTCCAAGGATAGAGGCTTCACAACTTCCCTGGACAACTTGGGGCAGTGCTCAGTAAGCCACAGAGTGAAGAAGTATTTTCTGATGATCAAGGTAATCACCTGTGTCTCAGTTCATGCTCACAACCTCTCATCCTTTCACCAGACACCACTGTAAAGAGCCTGGCTCTGCCTTCTCTGAGCCCTCCCTGAGAACAAAACCAGGAACAGGCATAACATGGCTTTAAATTGCCCCAAAGCCAACAGCCTGCACAGGAGGCAGTGGCTGCCCTGTGCATTAGCCTCAAGGACTTGTGGCAAGGATATCCTGGTGTTATACAACTGCAAACACGAAAGGACACAGGTTTTTCCGTGTTCCACTGCCTCACCCCAATAAAGCAAACAGTGCTCTCAGAGACACGACTGGTGCTCTCCCAGGCTCACACCTGGATTCACCACATATGGATTCCCACCTCTGTAATGAACAGCAGAACAAAAGGACCCTCGCAGTGCTCAGGATGTGAGCCAGGATCCTTTATATCCTCTACCTTTGCTCAGCATTCCTGTGACTAATGAACTTTTGCTGGGGAAACTTCACTTTGAACACTGGAACTACAGATCAGCAGTGATCTGGAGGAGGCTCCTTTTCTCTGAAATGCACATCGCTGACCCAAACAGTGGAAGCCCACTGCTAGTCTGCACAGCCCGCATTAAGCAGCGCATTTCTATCCCTAGGTATCAGCCACAGCAAAGGAAGACTTGACAATGTTCTTCCCTAATTTATTATACTATAAGTTTAGTATGCATAAACGAAGTTAATTCCTTGCATTTCCCCTCGTTTAAAATCAAACGCGCATCAAAAGTGCTGCTGCTGTACACAAGCCCTGGGCCAAACTTCTCCCGCTGTGCGGAGGGGTTCCAAGGAAAGCCGGGAGGGACGGGAAGCACTGCAGCGCCGTGCTGGCTTCGGGAGCGGCGGCTCCTGCCGCCACGGGGACAGCGGGCAGCGCCGACGGGCCCCAGCAGCCCCGCAGATGTACCGGACCGGCCGGGCCTCCGGCGGGCCCCGCGGAACGCGAACCTCCCCGGTCGGGCTGCGCTCCCGGTACCTGCGGGCACCGCCGCCAGCCTCCCCCCGGCGTGGAGAGACGGGGCCGGGACGCAAAGCCCAGAGCGAGAAGAGAGGCTCGCCCCTGCCCACCGCCCCTTACGGCCCGGGCCCCGGGGAGCTGCGAACCCGTCCCGGCCCCGCATAGCCACGAAAGGAGCCCGACCAGCGACTGCCGCCGAGAGCTGGGCGGCAGAGTCCGCGGTCCGCACAGGGCAGGCGGAGAGCACCCGGGGCGGGGGGAGGCACTGACCTGCAGCACGGCGGGGGGGTCAGCACGGAGGGACGGCTCTAAGCCGCCAAGAAACTCCCGCCGGCCCCACCACCACCGAACCACTCTGCCACGCCACCTCAGCACCGGAACGCGCCGCCGCCACTTCCGCCTCCGCGGGGCCCCGCCCCCAGCACAGAGGGACCAATCAGCGACGGAAGTTGAAAGATAGACGTGACGGCCAAGCAATCGCGACGGAGCAGCTGCCTCGGCGCCATGGTTGTCCTGCAACATGGCACAAAGTGACCAATCCCGAGGACGCTGTGGGTTCCCGCCCAATAACAAGGCATTGACCAATGAGTTGCGGCGTTTCGGGCCGGACAGGCGGTGTTGGTGAGACGGAGACTCGCACTGGCCGGGGGCCGCGGGGAGGCGGGGCCGCGGGGAGGCGGGGCCGCGGGGAGGCGGGGCCGCGGGGAGGCGGGGCCGCGGGGAGGCGGGGCCGCGGGGAGGCGGGGCCGCGGGGAGGCGGGGCCGCGGGGAGGCGGGGCCGCGGGGAGGCGGGGCCGCGGGGCCGCGAAGATTGGCGCTGCGTTGTTATAAGCCTTGTTGCTCTTGACATAAAAATATTTTTACGTGCTGATAGGCTGCAATAAGGTCTCTCCGGAGCCTTCTGTTCTCCAGACTGAACTCCCCAGCTCTCCCAGCCCGTCTCCAGAACAGAGGGGCTCCAGCCCTTGGAGCAGGTCCGTGGGCTCCTCTGCCCCTGCTTCGGCACCTCCAAATGTCTCTTGTTCTGAGGGTTCCGGGACAGGAGAAAGCTCTGCAAGGGGGGGGTCTCACCTGAGTCGGGCAGAGGGATAGGATTCTCCCCCTCACCTGCTGCCCGTGCTGCTGGAGATGTGCGCACTGCCAGCTCCTCCTGTCCAGTCTTGTTTTCCTTCTCAGAACTCTTGATCCGTTCCCTTCCTGGTCTGTACTGGTACCAGAGGTTGCCCCCAGCCAGATGTAGGGCAGGATTTCAGGGGCCCTGACCAGCGGTGTCCTTGCCTCCTGGCCACCCTTACTGTGCATGCACATGCACTGTGTTCCTATTTCTGATGGCACCACTAGTGTGCCAATGACCTACTATGGCCATGGGCTCTGTCCCTACTTCACAAGGCCTCCGGACCAATGCTTGCCAGATGTGCTCTGAATTTTTCATTTCATGCCCTGCCTGGAGCTTTGTTCATTTCGTTCACTTCACTTTGTTCACTTTAGCTGTGAGAGCAATTTCTCCAGGTATCTATGGCAAATTTATTTTACTTATCTAACTTTGTGTGGTTCAGCCATGGGCTTATATTGGTAGTAACAGCAAGCAGTTATTCTAGGTAGAATGAGATATTTGCAACTCTAACACGTACCTTTGTAAGTCTAAGTGGAAGGAAAGAGAAGAGAGGAAAAAAAAAAGAAAAAAGAAGGGAGGATGAGAAAACCATTCACAAGAGCATCACATTTCTCCCAGTGAAGGGCCCAGATGCTGACAACTTCCCATGACTCTCCCCTCCTCCTCTGCAAACATCCAAGTGAACCACAGATCTTAATACCCAGAGAAGCAGCAGGCGGGTCAGCGTAACATTGGAGAAAGCACAGAAACAAACTGCATGTGTTGCAATTTTAATTGGATTATTGCTACTAGTGCAGCTTTTTTCTTGTATATAAGTACTTGACCTACATTATTTTTCTTTGCTTTTCTGTAATTAGATGTAGATTTATTATGACTTCCAAATCAGACTGTTAAAATTTCTATTATACTAAAAATAAGTTTTGGCTTTAAATGTGTATGTTAAGTGGTGTGACTGATATTCTATAGGGAAGGGGTTAGGGCATCCAGAAGGATCTGGACAGGCCAGAGAGAAGGGCCCATGCCAACCTCATGAAGTTCGACAAGGCCAAGTGCAATCCCCAACACGGGTACGGGCTGAGTGATGAGTGAATTGGGAGCAGTCCTGTGGAGAAGGACTTGGGAGTCTTGGGGAATGAAAAACTGGATATGGGCCAGCAATGTGCACTCCCAGCCAGCTGCAGTCTGAGCTCCATCAAAAGTAGCACAGGCAGCAAAGCAGCCTAGCCTCTAGTTACCTGCTTTGGGGAAAGGTGTTTCTGCCCACAGTGAGGGCTGTAATTAGATGATTTTTAAGGACTCTTCAACCAAAACTATTCAACCTTCACTTCTGTGAAGGTCCATCGGTGGGAAGCACAGAGAGTGTGTGGGCTTAGACATCCAGCCTACCCACAGCTGCCTCTCGGTGCCTGGTCTCCCCAGCTGCTGGCACCTGGACACGCTGGGCCCTGCGAGGTGCACAGCCCTGCCACAGCCACCAGAACAGATTCCATTGCACACAACAACCTGCAGACAGACACGGACACTGGGTGCCCCTTGAGTTCCTGTAATGGGGTGCTCAGGATGCAGAGAAACACGGACAGGTGGGTCACCCTCAACCCTACACCCTCAGTCTAATGGCCAACTACTCCAGTGGTCTCACTAACAAGAGATACCTACACCTGTGTCATGAACTGTTTGGCCTATTTGCTGCCTACTCTGGCTTGATATTTACTAGTGATCATAGACTGACATGATCTGACTCAATCCAGTTGTGGGCACTTAAATCCCCATGCATACATATGCCCAGAGCACAGCGCTGTGCAGCCAAAATAAAAAAAAAAAAAAGAAAAGGAGGTAGAAGTGTTAGAACACAAGAAAGACTGTGATGACCAGGCCCTGTGATGACCAGGCCCAAGGGATGGATACACATTCACACAGATTAGCACCATTCTATGCAACCAGACCCTTCTGTTCCCCTTGCCTCCATTTTCTCATGCTTGTTCATTCCCATACCACCTAGACCCATCCCTTTCCCCACCTTCTTTTCCCCTCCTAAACATCCTGTTGTGAGTCTTGTCCCTAGATGCTCTTGCCCTGGACACACAGTGTTTTCCATGTCTCTAGGCAGTACACAGTTTGTAGAGTCCTCTGCAACCTCTCTTGCTGACTCATCATGATGGGTGCCACCTCTAGGCCCATGGGACTGGTGGCTCCCCTGCAACAGATTTAGAAGGAGCTGGGACCGGGCCTTTATTTCTCTTACTGGGTAATTTGTGTTCCCCAGCCTGTGGTTGTCTCTCTACTCTTCCCCTTTGTGCAGTTGAGCCTGTTATGGGTTGGCTGCACTTCCGTGATGGTTCTTGGATTTGCCAGACCAGGGGATTATTTGTGTCCTCTTGCATTGTTCCTCTGTGCTCCTTTGTGTGCATGGAGGTGAGCTTTTTCCCACATAACCTCACTATTGTACTGAGCCACTTCTGTAACACTTTCTGGTCCTATACACTCTGTTATTCAACACATCTATTTGGGAAAACAGACTCTCAAATCCACTTAGAGGAGAAGATCTTTACTTAACCTCACTGCCTACATCTTATGGGCATTTCCTCTTATCTTCATATATAATTATATCAAGGTTAAAAATAAGGTAGTCTACCAAACCAATATAGCTGCCAATGCCAGTGTCTGATTAACCTTCTCACCCTTTCTGCTTTAGCTCCTAAAATAGCAGCGATTTGCTAGATTATCTTGCATCTCCTTTCCATTCTAAGACTGTTTGTATCATTGAAACTTTCTGGTTTGTGGATCAGCCTCTAAGAAGATTAACGTTTATAATTGGCTTGTGGAAGGTTAGATCCCTCACGTAACTGACATTGGTGTTGAGCATGGACAGGAGCAAACGGGCAGTGCTGTGAGAGCCACAGGAGGAAGAGGATCATTCCTGTAGCATCATCCTTCTGACCACCGATACATATGGGAAACAACAGCAGCTCCACCGTGGATGATCTGCAAGCTGTTGAGATCCACCACTGGTACAAGAAATTCATGACAGAGTGTCCTTCTGGACAGCTGACGGAGCATGAATTTAAGCAGTTCTTTGGACTTCGAGGGCTGGATCCAGAGGCCAATAAGTACATTGAGCAGATGTTCCGTACGTTTGATATGAACAAGGTGAGTTCTCTGCAAGGAATTAACTGTCTCGTGCTGCTTAGAAGTGATCCAACTCCTGCGCTTTCAGAGTCTTCATCTTTCTCTTGCAAACATAAAGAACACAAATATTCTCTTGCAAACACGGGTGGGGAAAGCTGCCAAGGGATGCTTATGTAAAGTAGCTAAATGTAAGGAATAAATTAATGTGTACAGGTAATAACACAGATGACATAAACATAAGTGCGCCTGATTATCTAACTACCTTGTGCAAGTTCATATTTGAATTTTGAAAATTCCTTACTGCCAATTATTTGACTTGGCCTTGTTTAACTAGCAAAATGTTAATTTCATTATTCTTCTTACGTGTTCTTATTATTCAAAAATATAGCTGTATGAGATCATGGAGACCACAGGAATCAGACACAGTAGAAATCATTGTAGCATTCACAGAGGAGTAATTTCCAGGTATTTGGCAGCTGAAATTAACACTGCATGGGCAGACAGCGTCTGTGGCTTTCCTTGGTAGGTGCAGCATGAAGCTGGAGCGAGGGGGTGGGCAGTGTTCCTCACTGTGATGGGTGACTGCTGGTAGAAAACAGTAGCCCCCATAATTCCTTTAAGCGTGCAATTGCCCTCACTTTTGCCTGCTTTTTATCCATATGTATTTCAGCCTATGCTTGCAGGCCTGTATTCTTAATGACAAAGAAATCTGGATTTATAGCATCCTGGGAAAATTCAGCTTTACTCTCTGTTCCAAGGTTCTGAAATGGAGTCAAGGAGGATCCAGTCACAGAGGCATGACAACCAGGTGGGAAATCACAGAGATAGTCTTGAAGAGGGAAATCTTAGGGACCAACAAAGAATGTTATTTTGGACATGTGAGACAGCATAAGGAGTTAAGGAATGCTTAGGAATATTATAAAATTCTTAAGCAGAATAGCAGACAGGCTCCATTAGGGTAGCTGAGATCTTGTGGTGGATGTAATGACTGTAAATAATTGTAGACCTCAAAGCATATCTTATCTCATCCCAAAGTCCTCTGTGCCCAGGATGATAATAGTGATGAGAAGCAGTTTCATAAGGTAAAGCAAAACCTTTACAGCTTTTGCACAAGTCTTTCTTTCCCTTCACCTCTCTCTCTTCTTGGGATGTTAAAGGAATTTAAAATTTATTCAATGATGCTGTGCATTCCAGAGTTCTCATGTGAGCCCTGTGTTATGCAGTAAACAGTGTTATAAGAAGGTTCTCAAATTCAGATTTGGCCAGAAAAGCTATAATCTAAATAAAGTGATAGTGATCTCAGGAGGAATGAAGTTAAAGTGTGGCAACTAGTGGCGATGGACCTAGTTAGTCTTAGTCTGTTAACAGTCACTTAATCTAAGATCCTTTTATGAACAAGGGCAAGGAACCAGAGCACCCCGAGGAAAATCCACCCTGTCGTAATACAGACATGATGGATGGAATCATCTGCCCTCTGGACCTTCAGATTTTGAAAACTTTGATGATGACAAAGAGGATAAATTTTCAATATTCTTCTTTTATAAATTGCAATTGTAGCATTATAGAATGGTTTGTGTTGGAAGGGACCTTAAGGGTCATCTCATTCCACCACCTCCCATGGGCAGGGACACCTGCCATTATCCCAGGTTGCTCCAAGCCCTGTCCAACCTGGCCTTGGAGACTTCATGGGCCAGGGCCTCATCACCCCCTGAGTAAAAACTCCTTCCCAGCACCTCATCCCAATCTCCCCTCCTCTAGATTTAATCCATTCCTCCTTGTCCTATCATGGCCTGCCCATGCAAAAAGCTGCTCTCCCCCCTATTATAACCTGCTTTACAAGGGGCACTGAGGTTTCCCTGAAGCCCTCTCCGGACTGAAGAATGAATGTGAACAGCACACCAGATGGACAGACAGAGCAGGGACTCTGCGAGCCTGCAAGTGCACTGAGCAGGGCTGAAAACATGGGTAATGGTGAACACAGAAACTTTACTTCAACACCTCAGTCACGTCAGCATCGCTGTGGCCGCAGCGCAGCAGCGTGGGCAGGACAGAGAAGCCTCTGGCCCCAAGGCTGCCTTGGAGCTGCCGTGATCCACTGTAGCCCTGGATCCTGCTCATCCTGCTGCTGCTGCTCAGGCTTTTTTGTCCTTCTAAAACAGCAGGAACTCCTGCACCAGATTCCAGAATTGCACCAGGATCTGGTGTGGGAATGCCATGGGCAGTGACGTGCCCGAGGATGTCACTGCTGGTTTCTGGCTGTACTCAGGGGTCAAGTTGATATGTTCTTCTGGTTCCTCTGATTCCTCTGGTTCCTCTGGTTTCAGAGGCTGCTCAGGGGCTGAGGTGACAACTGGCTCTGGTGCTGGACCAGCTCTTTCTGCTGGGCTCTGGCCTGTCTGGAGCAGGATCCAGTTGTAGAAGTGCTGAGTGGAGGTGTAGATCCCAGGGTGCCTGGCTCTGTCACAGCCTCTTCCCCAGCTGTTCAATCCCACCAGCCAGTAGTAATCAGCTTGATTGTCCTTGCAGACGAGGGGACCGCCGCTGTCCCCCTGTGCCAGGAGAGAAGGTTCAGGGACTGGGGGGGGCTGCTGTGGGGAGAGGAGGGGCGGACAGGGGACAGGCTGGGCTGGATGTGGGGGATGAGGGGGTCCCTGCGCTGCCGGCGGCTGAGGGACTCATCACACGCTCCTACCTGGCAGGTGTCGATGCCGCCCTGTGGGTACCCAGCACACAGGTTGCGGGGGTGGATGGCCCCCGCGTACCACCGGCTGCTGTTGCAGAGCTCCGTGTCCATGAGGTGGACCTTGGCCTCCTGCAGCACCATGCCTGTTCCCTGAGCTGTGGGCACAGAGGGGAATGAGCCCCAGCAGCTCGGTACCCATCCCCTCCCCTGCCTAGGGTGAACCCCCTTCCCGGGCCTGGCTCTGCCCCTTCCCCACGGAGCGATGTTGTCCAGCTGTGTCCCTGCTGCTGGCCTGGGGAAGGGGCCAGACTCATCTCCCCCGAGGTTTCCCAGGGCCAGCAGGAATTGTTTGGGTGAGCAGGGACCTTACAGCCCATCCCGTTCCGCGCCCCGTCTTGGCGGGGACTCCTTCCCCCAGCCCAGGCTGCTCCGAGCCCGGCCCCACTGGCGCTGCGCGGCCGGACCCTGTGTGTGCCCAGCCCGTGTCCCTGTCTGTGCCCAGCCCGTGTCCCTGTCTGTGCCCAGCCCCTGTCCCTGTGTGTGCCCAGCCCGTGTCCCCTGGGTGCCCAGCCCTTGTCCCCACGGTGCCCAGCCCTTGTCCCCAGGGTGTCCAGCTTGCCCTCAGAGCACACATCCTGTTGGGAACTCACCTCTGGCAAAGTTCCAGCCGGCGATGTAGCAGGATTTCAGCTCCGAGACCCTGAGCGAGGCGTCGGGCACACAGCCCAGCTGGATGTAGTCGCTGCACTCCACGGGCTGGTCCAGCTCCACCAGGGCGATGTCGTTCCTGGCCGTGGCAGCCACATAGTGCTGGTGCACCAGGAGCCTCTGGATGCGTCTCACCACAGCCTCGGGGCCCATCTGAGTCAGATCTGTGGCCCCGATCACCACATCCCACATGGAGATGCCCCTGGGGAGCAGATGGACAGAGGGGTGACAGGGAGCAGAGCCACAGGCTGCAGCAGGCCCAGCATTTCCCGGCCTTCTTCTTCCCCAGGTGGGCAGGGAAGTGGCCCGTGGTGCTGTGAGCTGGGCGCCTGCCCGTGCTCTGGGGACATCTCTGTCCCTGCTGTCTCTTACCCGGCCCTGGCGAAGCAGTGTGCGACCGTGAGCACCCACTGGGAGCTGAGGAGGACACCCGTGCACATGTGCCACGTGCCGTTCTCCCAGGTGGCCTGGATGCTGACAATGCCAGGCCAGGCCCCTGGCTGGACACTGGTGCCACCCACATGGGACGTGCCAGCAGCAGAAGTCACGGAACTGTGGTCAGAGGCCATGGGCCGGAGCCTGCAGGTCCTTCTGTAACACAAAGCCATCACTGTTCTGCTTAGTAGCTGCTGCTGCTCAGGCTGAAAGTCCTCTGTCGTCCCTTCCTGCCCAGTGTTGAGTGGCAGGAAGACTCAGGACCACCGAAGGGCACATCTGTCCCCCTATGCTACTGCAGCCCCATAGACAGGTTATGCCAGCAGCTGGGCACTGGCCAGGAACCAAGGCTCCTCCTCCAGCAAGTGAGGCTGGAACACTGTGGTGCTGGTGTGGGGAACATGTGGGGCCCCTACATGGAACCTCCCAGAGCCTGGAACCACTGACCTGCAGGTGTCCCAGGTGCCCCACACAGGCCCGGCCAGGGCCAGCAGGATGAGCAGCCCCAGCAAAGCCATCGGCACCAGCGCAGGTGGCAGAGCCAGAGCAGAGGTGTCGCCTCCAGTGCGGCCACTGCCACAGCACCCACAGCCTTCGTGGTGCTCACAGTGCCCGGGCCAGGGCCGCTGTCACAGAGGGGCTGGTTCTGAGTGCTGGGCATGGCAGGGAGGGGCAGCACAGAGTCATAGAGACGTGGAATGGTCTGGTGGAATGGACTTTATGACCACCCAGTGCCACCCCTGCCGTGGGCAGGGACACCTTCCACTATTCCAGGGTGCTCCAAGGCCTGTCCAGCCTGGCCTTGGGCACTGCCAGGGATCCAGGGGCAGCCACAGCTGCTCTGTGCCAAGGCCTGCCTGCACTCACAGTCAGAAATTCCCTCCTAACACCTAATCTAAATCTACCCACCTTCAGCTTAAGGCCATTTCTCTTGTGTCCTATCACTACACGCTCTTGTCCAAAGTACCCCTCCACCCCTCCAGCCTTTTTCTAAGCCCCCTTTAAGTACTGGAAGAGGCACCAAAGTCTCCCTGGAACCTTCTGTTCTCCAGGCTGACCAACCATAACTCTCTCAGCCTGTCAACCCTTCTTCCCACCCTGAATGAATATTTTAAATGTGGTCATCCTTACTGTAAAACAGCAGTGCTCTGCTACTTTGCCTACATTCACCTTTTACATATGTTTATTTGCATCCATTTCAGAAAGGCACCTGACTTTGATTAAATACCTTAATAATTGAAAGTTTCATTTTTTTGCTCTGTTATTTCTTGAAGAATTATTGTTATTCAGAATCTTTGATGTAGATATGTGTTTTATTTGTAGTTTGTTTTTAACAGCTTCACATTTTAGTCAGCTTTAAATCTAGGGCCAATGAACCTTTACTAACTGGCATTTTTCTTGCAGAAGAAACAAGAGCCTTTTGACTTTCTTTGTAAAGCCAAGAAATTAAATATTAAAAACCTAAATACTGAACATTTTTTTCAGTGATTAAATCATGCTCTGTGTATTTTACAAAATATCCCCAGTCACATTATTTTCCACAGAATGGAGAAGAGATCTATGGCTTAGTGGAATAGCACAGTTTCCCACAAAGGCAGAATAAACTAGTACAGAAAACCTGCAGCCCATGGGCTGGGCTCAATGTTCTCTCCCAGCAGGCCAAAGGCAGTCAGCTTTGGTGTACAGAGGGGGCTTTGTTCATGCTGACAACCATGTTCCTTCACTGCAGGTGGTGAGCAGAGGGGAGTCTCTGTCTAATAGATCATAACTTTAGGAACCCAGGTATTTAGTAGCTAGAGAAATAACATGTGTCTGTGCACTAAAGATTTTTCCTGAGTCAAAGTCTCTTGTGCCACTTGTTGGCCTTTCTCTTTCAGCTGTGAATCTAAAGAGCAATAAGGTGAAACAAATCCCGTGCATTAACTCCCTCTGTTTACTCCTGTCACAATTTGGGTTTTTTTTTTCTGACAGGATGGATATATTGATTTCATGGAATACGTGGCTGCCCTCAGCCTCGTTCTCCGAGGGAAGATGGAGCAGAAATTGCGGTGGTATTTCAAGCTCTATGATGTAGATGGCAATGGCTGCATTGATCGACATGAACTGCTCAACATCATCAAGGTGAATCTCCAGGGGTCTGTGCTCTTGCCTCTTTCCTTAAAGTCAAATCACACAAGTAAGACCTTTGCTGTTTCCCCTATGGATGATCATGGATGAGACCTTTAAAAGCATTCCTTCTCTGAGCAGAATTCCCCATCACCGTATAATGAAATGAGCAGACTTAGACTCTTTATTACCACAGCTTATGTTACAACATAGCTAACCATAAAATTGTTTTAGTTGCCTGTGACCTATATTGCACTTTCCAAGGTTTCAGACCTTGTGACTGTCAGTTGCTATCTCTGCAATGTGTGCTTCATATGTCCTTTCCCCCATGAGAAGTTGGAGAGCTGCTCCCAGTTTGCTTTTTAGAATCAGTTCCTAAATATCAACATAATAAAACATTTCTGACTCTGGTGAATAGCCTGAAGAAAAAGGATTGAGAATTGAAAGGATTGTGTGCAAATAGCTGTTGTGGATGAGGTTGGGATTACGAGCATAAAGATCACTATATATATCTCAGAATTAATTGTGCTGCAAATTCAGATTATTTTACAGATAATGAGAAATTACCAAGGTAATTGCAGGAAAGATTCAACAACCCTCAATAAATAGCATTTCTGAATATGAAATGTCATGAAATTGATTTGATAAAGAAGCACTAATAAGATGTTAATAATGCATTCTCATCTGTATAAGAATTTTAGAGCTGGGTATCAAAGAGACCTGACCAATACCTGTAGTAATATACAGCCTCCTACTAGTAGCTTTAAATAGAAATACTCAGACATTACAGTGAAGCAACAGATAGCAATAGTTAACACAGAGTTCTTGAGAAACAAATTCTGGGGCCAACAACTGGTGGCAAAAAATTTATTGTCCTTTGTCTTTTTTTGCGCGTAGTTCAGTGTCATTTTTGGTAACCTTAGGAAATTGCTGAGATGATGTAAGTTTCAGTAAAATAGCATTTGAAAAAGAATGAATAAAATGACCAAATATCAAAGGGTAAAAACTAGAAAATAAATAGTCTTAGAATCAGTATAAGGGGTCTGAAATCACATATTTCATGGGCATCCTTAAACAAAGGAAATAAGTAGCATTGAAAGAAAAGAGAACCCTGCACTATGTAGTTATGAATAAGAAGAATTGTAGCCAACACAAGTGGACAAAGCTTAAAGTTTCTCAAGATGATAATGAATTTCCGATGACCTTTAGGGAGAAGCCAGACACACAGGAAGTATGTAAATGGAAATTGTGAAAGTAAGAATAGAAATAAATTACCACAGCATATAACAAAGGAATTTCATAATGTTAATTGTGGAAGATGTTTGACAGTGTTTCTGAGGCTTGCTGTACGATAGGGTCACAAAGTGGGACAAAGTGGATCAATTAGGTGGATTCTGATTCTGCCATTTCTGCATCACCTAAACTGTACCTAAGCAGAATTAGGCCAATCCTCTGAGTTTTGCTGCTCATTCCGTGCTCCAGAGCCATGCTCCCTTTTTGGCACCCTTCAGTGCCATCCATAAGGCCTGATGATTTGTGCTTTGTTTTCCTGTGGTACTGGTTCATTTTTATGGGGAAGGTACCAGATGTGACTATTTTATTTTGAATCAATGCTGACATGTGGAATCAGTCTGGGAGTCATCAGGCAGCTGCTTACTCTTGCTCTTTTATTTTAGGCTATTCGAGCTATTAATGGTGGTGACCATGAAACAAGTGCAGAAGAGTTCACCAACCGAGTCTTCAACAGGATTGATGTGAACGGCGATGGTAAGGTTCCTGCCTTTGTCGTCCAGCTTAGACAGTCTTTTCTACAGAGTAACATCCTTCTACAGAGTGACTTTTCCTTTCTTGGTTGAACTTTAGGCCTCTTCACTTCATATTTTATTTCTATTTGCATTCTCAGCCGGTAATGCGTTCTCCATGGACCAAAAGGATTTTTCTCCTGGCATTATACATAATCAGTGTGACAGGATTTGTTTCCTGTACTGGTCTCAGCTTTGTTCTGTCCGCATGAGTTTCGTAGTGGGGTTTTGGAGTGGTGTTTTGTTTTCCTTTTTGTATGATGCTGTGTAGCTCATGCCAGTTAGAAGTGGGAAATATTATCAAATGGCCCCAGCTGTTCCTAAGTACTTCAGTATGGAAAGGAAGAACTGCAATTTAATGTTGAAGTTCAGAGTTTCTTCACTGGGTCTGCTGCAGGCAGTATAGCAAGAACATGAAGTGCTCAGTCAAAGGTTGGTCAAGTGTCACCGTGGTCCCTGTATGTCCCCAAGAGGTATCTCTTTTCCTTGCTACTTCAGGGGCTCATTACTTCCTGACAGGCTCTTTCGTTATTCCAGAATAACTCTGCTGAGCTGATTCCCTGTGCAAGGGCTTTTTGGCCTAGGACATAATTTGTTTCTGTCTGTCACAGCCTCCTTCTGTCAGTTCCTTTATCCTTGAAAACCAGCAACTATAGGGCAAGTTAGTATTACAACAGATTGAGCCAAAAAGAATGCTATGATCTCACTCCTTAGGTACCCACTTCTATTGTTCTTTCTTATGTACCTCTTCCCTTGTATGGGGAAAAAAAGGGAGCAGGTGTTGTCTGGATACTGGGGATGTTTCATAAAAGCTTAAGAAGACTTTCTGAGGTCTTTAGGACAGTGCCTTGGAACAGTGGTTCTAAGTATATAGTAAGTGGTCTCTAAAGTTAGATTACTGTACTCCTTTTCCTGTCAGATGTGGATTCTGATGCCCTTTATTTGTGTCTGACACAGGTGAACTTTCTCTGGATGAATTTGTGGAGGGAGCAAGGAAAGATGAGGAGTTCATGGAGGTTATGATGAAAAGTTTGGACCTGTCACACATTGTGGCCATGATAAACAACCGTCGGCATAGTGTATAAATCAAGCTGGGAGAAAATGCTGTGCCAATAGACAGAAGGGTGTCACAAGGAAGGAGAGACAGCATTTTTCAAAAGAAAATTTCCATAAACATGAATATGGAAGTGGGAACAGAAAGACACTGCTATATTTGTGTATCTGAGTGCATGTTCCTATACAAATACTGAAGCTTAGCCACATAAATGCAAGGCAGGTTCAGAAAAACTGAATCTGGGTGGCAGTATTTGACTTGTCTTTCTAAAATTTAAAGGCCAAATTTCAGGACACAAATTTCCTTTTTATTCTGTGTCCCAGATTATCAGTTTGAAATGGACTAAAAGTAACATCAAGTTTGTGAAGAGCGCTAGCAGAACTGGGTGGTGGAGAGTGGAGGACATATTATGACATAGAAAAGAAGAATTTCAAACTGTTATTAATGTAGGGAACGAACAAAAGAATGTAACCTGCACTGTTCTTCTCATGGTATTGGTTCATAAACACCAGCTTGGTTTACCAGCACACCACATGTGCTTGAATTTGGTAGTCTCTACAGAAGCAGCTTTAGACATAAGACCACAAGAACTGAGAGAAAAACCAGTCTGGCAGTGACAAATCTGCGCTCAGCTGCAGCTCTTTGAGCTTTCTGTGATCAAAGAATTCTAGCAAACAAGTCAACAGTTTGGAGCAGCTTCTGTAACCAGAGAAAATATGCTACTCAGTTTCCCAAAGTAGAAGAATTACTTGAGAGATCATATATTTTATATACTCATGGTCCTACTTATTCTCCTCTCATACAACTGAGTTGCTGGGAATGTTCAAGGCCACACTGAACAAGGCTTGGAGTAACCTGATTTAGCCCCATGGCATGGGGCTGAAGCAAGATGATCTTTGAAGTCCCTTCCTACCCAAACCATTCTGTGACTCTATAAATGAAGTATTTGAAGATGATCCTAATATTATTGCCTCACACACCCTTCATTGGTCATTCTTCTTGTTCTTGAGGAGACAATCTAATTGAAAGAAACAACTCACCAAGGTGACTTGTGAATTGTGCTGTTAATGTGAAGGCTGGAGTGAAGCTGATACTCTGGATCAGTGCTGCCATAAATGACTCTGATTTTATACACGATGGGAAGAGTGATGCAGCATGGATAGAAGCTCAGCAAACTGTGTCTTGTTCGCTGTTCGTTAGATAAGGTCATGATCAGAAGCTCCTTTGAATCTGGGAAGAGAACCAAAAGGAGAGAAGAATGCAAGAAATGTTCAATGGAGTGCCTATGCCATAGCTGGCATGTTTTTCCTGTGCAGGAGGAAGAATGTGCAGACCTGTAACAAAACTTTAGATTGGACTTATTCTTGCTTATATTTAGGCTTCTGTGATGTTCATATGTGTATGGGTTTGCACGGCAAGGTCCTGGTAGCAGGGAGGCTACAGGAATGGCTTCTTCTTTGAGAAGCTGATGGAAGCTTACCCCATGTCTGGCAAAGACAATGCCAGCCGGCTCCAGGATGCCACTGGCCAAGCCTGAGACCTTCAGCCATGGCAGTAACATGTCTGGGATAACATATTTAAGAAGGAAAAGTTGTTGGGGAGAAGCAATTGCAGCCAGAGAAGTGAGGACTGAGAATATGTGAGAGAAACAGCTCTGCAGACACCAGAGTCAGCTAAGAAGGAGAGGGAGGAGGTGTTCCAGGTACTGGAGCTGAGATTTTCCTGCAGCCCATGATGCAGGGCGTAATGAAGCAGATTGTCCTCCTGGAGCGCATGGAGGTCTGCAGGAGGGAAGCACAAATCTACCTGCAGCCTGTGGAAGAGCCCCATGTTGGATCAGGTCCTGGAAGGACCTATGGGTCTGTGGAGAGAAGGTTTCCTGGCAGGACTTGTGACCTCACAGGGGACTCACTTTAAAGCAGTTCCTGAAGGACTGACCCCAGGGAAGGTACCTCACACAGGAGCAACTCGTGAAGAACCACAGCCCATGAGAAGGACGCATATTGGAGAAATTAATGGAGAACTGATCCTGTAGGAGGGATCTCATGCTGCAGCAGCACAAGGACTCCTCTTCCTGAGGGGGAAGCAGTGGCATGAACTGACTGTAACTTCTGTTCTCATCTTCTTGCACTACTGGTGGGGAGGAGGTAGAGAATGGGGAATAAAGTTAATCCTGGGAAGGAGAAAGGGATGGGGGAAAGGTGTTTTAAAGACTTTACTTCTCATTACCCTACTCTGATTTTTATTGGTAATAAATTCAATTAATTTTTCCCTCTGATGTCTCCCTGTCCTTATCTCAGCTCATGAGCTTTTTTATATTTTATCCATCTGGGGAGGGAAGTGATTGATAGAGAGGCTCTGGGGGGCACCTGCCATCCAGCCATGGTCCACAGCAGTATTCTAACAAAGTGTCTGGGCTTTCACTGTAGGGAAGACTTAGTAAGGGGCATTTAGTAAATACTGTCATTGGAGTGTGAAAGAGTGAGTGATCATGTTTAGAGTAGCTACCAACAGTTTTCTAGGCAGGCTCATGCTCCAGGCCCTAGTGGCACATGCATGTCTGCAGTCTTAGAGCTTCTGCAAGGAATCACAACCTCATGGTTGGAGAACTGTCATGTGAAAAGGGAAGATTTCCTTGACCCTTAGTATTTAATTTGTCTGTCAGTGCCCCAGGAAAGCTGAGACCTTTGTGCCTGACCAGTCTGTCAGTGTCCTGTTACAGGGACCCTTTGTTGAGCAGTCCTGCTGGATTGGAGGGGAGTCTGACTGACTCAGGGAAATAGGCCAAGAGCATAAGGGAGACCCCTCAGCAGGTCTTCCCACTTTATGACCCCTCAGTAGGACTTCTTATTTGAATATGTTACCTGCTGCTGGCAATTGCTAGCATCCATGAAGGAGTCCCACCTTGGAATTTTATGGAACAATTTATGGAACTATACTCTTTATAAATATAAAATTGTGGCAGGTTAAGGTTCAGGGATTGTTGGTGATGGTATCTGTCAGTGATAGTATTTGACTGCAAAAGCTTATTCAAAGCAGTATCCAGACAAGCTGTAGTCCCCAATAAAAATATTCAGCAGGCAGAGTGCATTTCTAACCCAACAGGCATTCCTATGGGGGAGAAGGCAGGTTCAGCCCATTGACTGATCCCAGCAGTTATGATGGAGCCTTCACTAACTTTTTCTCCATTCTTGGCTTAGTTTTATAGTATTTCTTTATATTTAGGTGAAGCTGGAATGACTCTACTCATGCATATATTTGCTACTGATTGCTGTAGAATCCTCTTACTTCACTTTCAAAGATACAGTCAAAAAAATGTTTAGAGCTCATGCCCAATGAGAGGTTGTCGTAATTTGGAGGCTGTTAACTTTGGGATGGAGGTGTGCATTAATATTACAATTAGGCTAGAATGAACCACATTCATTTGAGGAAAGCGATTTTGCCACGTTGCTGGCTTGGCAGCAAGACATCTCTCTCACAGCTGCTATGCAGTTAATCAGCTTCAAAGTACCATCAAGTTGCTGCCAAGGATTTTGGCAGAGCCTGGTCGTGGTATCTCCATTCCACTGCACCCCCCTTAGCAGGTGCTTATGGTTGTATGGGGGATCATTGTGGAGCATGCCAACCCAGTTCCATCCTGGGAACAGCATCTGTATTTTACCCTAAAATTTCTGTACCGTTATAACTCCTGTTAGGATATAAATGTAACTTAGTTTCCTCTGATTTTACCCCCCATCATCTTTCCATACAAACGTTGCTCCACTGTCCAGAGGATTATTGTGAGCAGATGTGAGCTCTGCTGTCCCTTTGGACTGAGAAAGACAGTGTTTTTTTCCCAAGTTCCTTTTGAACCTGTCATGCACCTGTTACAAGTCTTCAGTCTCCTGCAGTTTTGTGGGTCAGTCATGTGTAAAACAGCACAACTGGCTGGCATGCTCTGCTCATGAGGGGAGACAAGAATCCCTCTGCTCACACCAGACCTGCAGCTGCCAAACCTCACCAAAGCACCTGAGGAGCCCCCAAGGATTGATGGCACAGAGGGAGCTGATGGAGGACAGCACAGCAGGCAGCCTGCCCCCCATCTGGCTGTGAAGAAGGCAGGGCTGGGAACTGTCAGCAACATCCCACCAGGTCTGGCTCATGGTGCCACCCCGAGGGCTTCCCCTGCCTTTGGGTAGTCCCAGCTGCTGCAGCTCACGGGACAGAGACTCAGTGTCTATACTGTGCTTGGCTGCACTGGAGAGGACGAAGCCAAGGACAGCAATGGTTGCCTTCACATCCCCTGACTGCAGACGGGAGGGAGGGCAAGCTCTGTCACCTTGGGAAGGCCATCGGCAGATTCATTGCTGCCCATCTCTGGAGCGTGGCTCCATCGGGGGATCGTGGTAAGGACAGCAGTGCTCACCTAACTTTGCACCTGAGGTCAGTCAGCTTCAGGATCTTGTCATACTGTGGGAGAGCAGAGCTTCACAGTGAACACCAGCTAACACACTCACTACCGGTGTTAACACTAACAATTCTTACCTAAATATTAATACGGATTAATTATTATTAATACGGATTAATGCAGATCCCCCCGTGCCGCTCAAGCAGCGCGGCCGACAGCGCCGGAGCTGCGGCTTTGCCGGCATCGCGCTGAGAGCGGCCCCCGCTCCGTGCCGGGCCGTCCCCGCCGTCTGTGCCGCTCCCTCTCTCGCTGCCCCTGGCCCGTGACAGCGAGGCTGGGCAGGAACCTCAAGCCTTCTGGGGGCTGCCCCCCCTTTCTTGTTGCAGCAGAATCCCTTGCTGGGGCCATGCACGTGTGGGAAGGGCTTGGGGGAAGCGCTGCGCTGCTGTCCGGGGCAGTCGGATTCGTTCGGAGCCTTCTTTGGGGGTCAGGGAAAGGCGGGGTGAAGACTCGGGGCTCTGATGCCGTTGGGGGCAGCCCAAGGTGCCCAGGAGAGGGAGCCCCACGGCGGTGCAGGAGCAGGTGGGGGGCGGGCGAGGGGCGGGGGTCACGCTGGGTGCCGTCCCCCAGAGGGACCCAAAGCCGCCACCAAATGCACAGGGAGGGGTGAGTGGGTGTAGGATGCTAAAACCTGGCAAGGCATTCGGTTTTCTAGGTATTGCTAAAGAATAGGAATTGGTCTCTAAACTCAGCTGGGGAGAAACCCTCTCTATGCACTCATTTGTTTACAGGAATGTAGAAGGTTCCGACTGGAGATGCGTAGTAGTTCTGAAGATATTGCCGTGAGGTTTTGATCTAGGAACGGACCGAGCTGTGCCCTGGAACCCTCAGAACAGCTGCAGGGGCTGAAGGCGATAGAAAGGGCTCTCTGGCACCTTTTGCCTCCGTTCTCTGCCAGCGCCCAAAGCGTGTCGCAGTCCCGGAAGAGGCGCTTGTCATCCCGAGAGCCAAAAGGAAGACGTGTCAAATCCCAGCTCTGCCTTGTGTTTCGTGTGGGTTTTTTACTTCGTATTGATGTCATTCCAGAGAGCAAGGAAAGAAGAAATGTGACCGGCTCCCGCTATTACTGTGTGAAGGCTTTCTTGAAAGGCTGCTGTATTTCTATTGTCCTTTTCCACTCCAAGCTTGACTTTTGCCCTCGTTTTTCGAGCTCTGCTGCATTGGGTGTCCCAAGGAGGGCGGGGTTCCTCAGCAGGGCTCTTAGGAGGCGGCGCTGATTCTGCTTTTTCTGAAGGCGTCTCAAAGCGCGCTACCAGAATGACAGTTTTGTGCACTGGAAAGCTTTCCCTCAGTGCCATCAGCGCACGTCCGTGTCTGAATTGTGGAAGCAGACGGACTAAGAAAAGCCAGCACCCGGAGCAGATTTCTGTTGGCTCTGTGTCTGTGAGAAGCGGGCTGTGTGCTGGACGGGGAGAGGCGCTGTTGGGGAGCGGCATCAGCGCCAGGTGTGAGCTGTGAGGATGATGGGGGGCTCGGAGCAGCCCCAGGTGTGAGCTGTGAGGATGATGAGGGGCCGGCTCCTGCTGGGGTTGCGAGGCTGTTTTAGGGGGAGGCTTCGCCTCAGCTCCCTTTTGCATGGAGCTGCTGAGTAGAGGGGTTCGTGGGGGGGCTCCCGGGGCTGTCTCATGGAAGGACTGCGAGAGCTTCTCGCAGCGTCTGGGCGAACACCTGGATACGCGCTTGGATCCGCGGAGCATCGCTTCAAGGAGGTGCCGAGGGACGAATCTTTGTGCCGGGAAGCAGCAGCCGAACGGGTGAGCGCGTGTGGGTTTGGAGCGGGGACTTTGGTCCTTTCCCTTTTCAATTGGATCTTGGCAGTCCCCCCTCCCCGGTTCCCCAGGAACAAAAAGGGAGCTTGTGAACACAAAAGAAATGAAGGAGAGGCAAGCAGCTACTCTCCTAACATTGTCTGTGTTTGAACTGGGGGGGATCCGCTTTCGCTTGCGGTTCCAAGGATGTCGATTGAAGGAAAAGCTGCCTTTTCCCGGCTGTTAGGGGTATCCCAGGGGTGACAGGGAATCCCTGCGTTCCATTTGAACGGGAATGGGCAAAGTATTGTTGTCATCGGATGGCTTTGATTTGAAGGTAGCCAGCCCATTTTCATCATCCTAAGGTTTAAATGGAGGGGACAGCGCTGGTGTCCCTCCTTTGCAAGGGTTTGAATGGAGGTCAAAATCCCCCCTTGCACATGGCTTGAAGGATTTCATTGGAGGAAAGCCCCTTCTTTTCTGCTCTCCTAGGGGATGAACTTGAAGGGGAGAAGCCATTTCTTTGCCCTTGTTGAAGCGAGGTGAGCGCCGCCCGCGGCGTCAGTTTCGGGGTTGAGTTGCGGGAAGCCGCAGCTCTGGCAGCGTTTGCAGGGCTGCAGTCGGGCTGTGCCGCTGCATTTGAGGGCGCTTCTTGTGGCCGCGGCCCGGGCCGGAGCGTTGCCGCTCGGGAGCGCTGCCGGCCCGGGCCGGGCGGGTGCCGAGGCGCACGGGGGAATTTGGCGCGGCAGCGGCGGAGCCGCTTTGCCGGTGCGAGCCGCCGTGCGGAGCCGAGGGCAGCTGGCGCCGGGCCGGCCAAGGGCGGCAGAGGCGGCGCGGGCGCTGCTGCGCCGGCCCGGCCGGTGCCGGCCGCTCTGTCCGCTCCGGGCGCGGGGCTCGGGCGCCGCCGGGGCCCCCCGGGCAGGGGGAGCGGGCGGGGGCGGGGGGGTCTCCGGGGTGGCGCCGCCCCTGCGCGCCG